TCTCTCTCTCTCTCTCTCTCTCTCTCTCTCTCTCTCTCTCTCTCTCTCTCTCTCTCTCTCTCTCTCTCTCTCTCTCGCGCGCGCGCGCGCGCATGGTAGGAAGTCCGTGAGTGCACAATTAGACCCCGCTCTCCAGCAGGTTGCACTTCGGAATCGAAATGCTCCCATCTGGAGAGCCCAACTTAAAGGTCAGGTAGAGGTCCGCTGGGCGGTTCCCTTTAGGAGAGCCCAACTTAAAGGTCAGGTAGAGGTCCGCTGGGCGGTTCCCTTTAGCCATCGCTCCCCTGAAAGGGTCTGTCGGCTGGCCCTCATTCTAGCACCCCCAGGGGGCGTCCTAGACTGCCGGGGCCACCCCCCCCACACCACTGGAATTCGGACACTACTACCGCGCTGGCTGCAGCGCTCTTCGGCGGGGGCCGCTGCCGCTCTTCCCCTGTCAAAACGGGGGTGGAGCGGCGATACTACCCCCCCCTAGACACGGAGGCTGGCGCTCGCTTCCAGCATTTGGCGCCGGCATACAGCTCCAGTCTTGCGTCACAACACCAGCATCAGGCCAGTGCAAGGCAGAATGATCTTCACAATGGCTGGGTAAACTCTATATAGTGTTGACTTACATTGACCATCCTCGGCCGCCTTCGGTCGACGGCCCAGATGAATCGAGAACCAATGGCTTGGATGCAGCTCAGTTCCCAATTTCCCTTGTGTCCCACTTGGACTGGAATCTTTTGAATGCCTGCAGACAACCAATGATGTGCATCTGATCCATGGTCGTGGCTGACCAGTGGGTTGACTTCGACCTTGGGCCTGGAATCCCGTGGTGGGATTGACTCTTGATTTTCCAGGAGTCGACAGCATCACATTGGTGGGGTACTGGACACAGCTTTTGACTCAGACCCTGGTACCCCTTGACCCTAGGCGCTTTCTCAGACATTTCTCAGACTTGGTCGTGACTTTTGACCCCTCTTTCTGGCCGTTGACCAAAAGTGACGACCCTTAGCCTGCGACCATGCAGATTCGGGCTGAGTTATTGCAT